CAGTAATGTTTTGTTTGTAATTAAGCACAAAGCTACACAATGGGCTATCTGTGCTGTGCTCCACCACGGGTATCGAAGTCCGGATTTTAGAGTTACAAGTTCGCATATATACCGCTGTGCCACTGGGGGGGCAAGCAGTAATGCGAATGAGTTAACTTACATGACATATAATGCCAAATATCAATAAACATGAACGGAATTTTGTAAAAAAAAAAAAACACACACTCAAAGTTAGACTACTAAAACTCTTGACAATATATCCTTAATGATATGGGTTTCCAACGCTTGAGACAAGGGTAATAGTAACATTTTTACTACACTTCTGGGTGTTGAAATTTTTGACATCGTAATAAGTTCTGGAATTGAGAAGAAACTTTTGCTATAATAAATTAATAAAGTGCATTCAAGCTGCTCTTAATGCATTCGTCTTGCTAGAAACAGGTATTGATTTTTCAAAATGACTTTCACACTACGTAGTCTAAATCATTGAGTGTGCCAGTTCTTTTTAATTGAGACGAAAGCGGTTGTTCATATGAGCTCTTTTATACATCATTGTATATATGTGGTGTTTAATAATATGGAATTTTCCGGTGATTTCCTAAGGATTAATTATAAGGAACTAAAATCACTATAGTTTGTCATCACTGGTCAATTGTTTTATTAAGATTTATATATAGAAAATATGCAACATAGAAAACACCTTCATATCGCAGTTATCTGTAGATAGTTGTCTAGATAAATGGGTTAAAACGTATTTAAAAAGGCACAATAATATATAGGCAAACAACAATTTATAAGCATAAGGAAGAGATTTAATTGATGGAGGAACATATTACATGTTTTGACAGAACATTGAAGAACGCAACACAGATCAATGTTCTACAGAAAGATCTAGATGCAACTTTAATGATGTTCTACAAAAAGATCTAGATGCAACTTTAATAATGTTCTACAGAAAGATCTAGATGCAACTTTAATGATGTTCTACAGAAAGACCTAGATGCAACTTTAATAATGTTCTACAGAAAGATCTAGATGCAATTTCAATAACCAAAGTTTATCTATAATTCTATACGAGATCAGTTAAGTAAAATTGCATGAGAAAAGACATTTTTGTAAGTTTGATATGTAAACAGTAATTAATAACTTATACTCAACATCGTACAATGAGTGTTAAAACAGTTAGGAGCAAACACAGATCATGGTAGAGAAGATGTCCCGAGTGCTGACTTGTTTGTTTTCCCGAATAAATGCACAAAATGTAACTTAATTTCTTTCTCTAAGCCACGAGAGAAACAACGCTACCTGATAATGACATAATCTTGTCGAAACGTTGTAAATTTAGGCTAAAGGTTTCTTCATTACCCATTCAAGCCGCCTCCAAACTTTTATTTTCTGAAAAGTGAGTTCCCCGTCATTAAATTTAACTCAACTTGTGAACCTAATCTCATATTAAACATTATATAAATAATAATAACCACTGTGGCATTAAAAACAAAAAAAGCACAAATGAACTATAAATAATAAACAAAATACTGCTACGAAAACGAAACCATTATAAACCGAACTCGTTGGCAATTCAAGGAGAAAACGAATCCTCGCCCTTTGAATATGTATGCCGTTTATTTTAAATATGTATCTTACCTCATAACACATATTATTATTTTAAAAAATCCTATAGTATTTTCAATTTATTCTATATTTACTGCTTGTTTGTTTGTATGTTTTTAATTATGCACAAAGCTACACAAGGGCTATCTGTGCTCTGCCCACCACGGGTATCGAAACCCGGTTTCTAGCGTTGTAAGTCCACAGACATACCGCTGTGCTACACTCTATTTACAACTTTATTGACTGGTCGACATTCTTTTCTTCAATAGGAAAGACTGAGGAAGAACGATAAAAATTTCATGTATGTTTTGACCTTTCTTCCTGAGTTAAGTCGTCTTCAGAGACACCCCCCCTCTCAACTCGGTTATCAATAAACCCGAGCTATAAAATGAAAGAAAGGTCGTACATGAACTTGATTTATTTATATCGCTTTGTGTTATAATCTTACAGACCTCTATGCATCTTTCCCGGTAGAGATTTACGTTTTGATCGACTTTAGCTGTTTTTGTTTATCAGTAATTGTTTTTCGCTCTATATAACAAGATGAATGCTTAAAATAACTCAATTAGCAGAACATACTATACCAAAATAATGGTTTATAATTTTACATTAAATCAAGGAAATTTTATTACCATAATGCCAATTTATTCGCAAGATAACTTATATAGATACACATGTTGAGAACGATCTTGAAACCTCACCACATCGTTATTTCCTTGTCGCCACGACCTGTCGTACTCTATCTGATGGCCGTGCATCTTGAAAATAGCCCTGCAGCGCAGTTTTCCTTGGAAATAGCTCCATCATAAGGCTATCATTTCAAAATCGCTCCACTACTTCCTACATATTTTGCATAATCCACCTAGCGAAAACATCTTTATAATCTGAATGTAGAAATACTTCGCGTTTAGAAGAACTTCTACTGCCCTTCCCAAAAGCAATCAATCTTCGATGGAATACTACTTCTTACACAATGTCAACACTTAGTTCTGACACATTCCGTTCCACAAAAACTTTACATCAGCTGTGATTGCTACGTGACTTGCTGATTTGCATGTTCAAGGTTTTTTTAATGTCATGTAATTAAACCTATTTAGACAGATAAAGTTGTAGGTCTAGCCTAACTTAATTTATGTTATATTTTACTCACATTAAATATTCAGAAATGTACTGTTTTTACTCCACAATCATGAACGAGATTTCAGTTTTCTTGCATATGATATGACACGCACATAATGTTTGTGTATTACGAAAACCCTCAGAATCATGAAACGCTGTTATCCGTCGTTTCTGTAGAAACGCGTTCTCCAACAATTCTCTAACGCACATTTTTGGAAATAGTATTATTGTAATGAGATTAACTATTTTAATGTTATTTTTTAATTATAATTTTAACTTCTTATCGGAAGTACAATAATACAAATTTAGGGTTCTTATTTTTATTGTGAACCTTTTTATAGTGCACTCGTAAAAAGAAAAACAAACTATTTTGTCACCTTATTCTACAAAAAAAATAAATGATTTTTTTTAGAATGTTGTTAACATAAGTGCTGACTTCTTTGTTTTCCCGAATAAATGCACAAAATTTAACTTAATTTCTTTCTCTAAGCCACGAGAGAAACAACACTACCTGATAATGACATAATCTTGTCGAAACGTTGTAAATTTAAGCTAAAGGTTTCTTCATTACCCAAATGAACAAATATTCTTTCAGAGTAACAACTGGAAATGAAGACACATTTTCCATTTATATCTGCTGTTATACTTCATCCGTGACAAACTGATTCTGTTAGCTCTAGCGCATCGCCAGTACTACTCTAAAGAAGTTTATTTAGTATCGAAAATGTGGAAACGTACACAATGTATACAACGGTTCGTCTTCGAAACATTCTATGTAAGTTGACTTATTCGAGCTTAGTTTAGTGCCATCTATTGATAACCTGGGTAACTATTCACGATGATACAATTATTATTGCGAAGTGTTTTGTAAACAAAGATTTCAAGGCATCGACAATGTACGTTATAGAATTAATCTAGTTTTATCTATCTATTTTCCTCATTATTATAGAAAACACTAACATGTGCAAAGAGTTAGTGACGCAAGCTTACAAACAAAATATCTATTAATAACTGATTATCTTTCCTAGTATCAGATTTGTATTAATACCAGCTGGAGTACCAGTCCGTTGGACGGGTTTAAAATAAAAAGTAGTTTGTAACAAAAGATAGTAAACTTATGCTTCTAATTTTTTCCTTTAACACATTAAACGGTAAAAGTGCAATAAAAGTACACAAAGGTGCCAATACTGAAAAGAAAGACATACTGTTTTCAAGAATTCTATCAATATGAAATTAAATGGAAGGTCTATCCCCCCCCCCCCATGACCTTCCTCTTATTTTATAATTCATATTTACGACGGATTTTCTGGTAGGCGACCTTTATAAGCGCTGGTCAATAATGTAAAATTCTCCAGTATTTTATTTCCACGTGTATACACTAAAGACGAGATACTTTTTTAAAAGATATTCTTGGTAATTTATATTTGTGCATATTCGTAAAGTTAGGTATGCAAGTGAGAAAACTTTGCAACTTATTGCATAAAATATTTTCCTTACTTCCCCCCAAAATTGATAAACGTAGAAACTCGTGTTTAAAAAATAAAAATAAAACCAATAATATGCAGATGTATTAACCTTTATAAGCAAGAAAAATATACAAAGATGTTAATTACACTTTATGAGAACGATGTTATAGATCTCGTTCTGCCCTGGGGACTACTTAACCCATCGTCCGTCTATCATGCTCAGTCTGATAGCCATGATTATTCAATAGTATCCTAATCGCAGATTATGTTGAAGCAAACTATTGGGAAGAACAGTGAGCTGAATTTTAGACCATTCATATGAACAGACCTTCCAAAAACACTCTACCCTACTTGGTCAATGACTTCCAAGACTACATATAAGCAGATGATGGATACTTATTCGAATGGGATTGATCCGAATTCAATTTCTTCGAACACAACCATTGATAGTTCATTTCGAGATGTGGCTGAAAGATTTTGAGCCTTTAATCAACCTTTAAATTCTTGCTTATTGTTTTGTTAATACTACCAAGTGATATCTCCAATTTCATCGCAATGGTATTTTGGATCGGAAGGTTCTCGTTCGTACCTATAGTCTTCGTGTTGCGACTCAGGACACAGCTCTTTGTTTGTTCACATACACTGAGCGATAAAAGGAAAGTGTTTGTAAGAAATAGATGAAAATGATACTATAAAACGCCTTTCGAAAAACAATCAAGTATACTATTATTTAACGTTTTAAAATTTTATCTTGTTACACTAAAGTTTCAAAGAGTAAACAAAAGAGCACCAAAGTAAACTAACTCTGTATCATTCGGTCCTCAAGAAGGTCAGCGGAAAGTTTACAGACTTACAACGATAAAATCCGACAGAGTGCAGTAGCCCATTGTGTAGAGTTGCGCTGAAACAAACAAAACGTATCATTCTAAAAATTATTTTCATATACATATAATAACAAATTCAAAAATTTATTGCACTGAGCTCTGTCTTTTGACAAGTCGTCCTACATAAAAAATAAAAGTCTAAAAGTAGAGATGAGCTATGTCAGAATACTCCAAACTTACCCCAAAGCACACCTGGACTTACTAAAAAAATGCACCATATCGCTAATTGTGACGTTAGTAGCAAAATAAGAATAAAGCCACAAATACAAACGCTTGATAAATAAGATGATCTGTTATTGTGTTTTCATTTGTTCATCACTTTAAAGTATTATTGTAATGTATTTGATTGTGTTTATTTTTAAAAGTGGAATGTTTTGCTCACAGGACTTTAAACAATGAGCATTCTCACGCAGCTAATTGTTCTTATGAAAAAATTAAAACTTTGTCTTAGCGAATGTTTTGGAGGCTCATTACAGATAATTTGTTTCTTTCGAAGTAAATACACATGGGGCTATTTGCTGTGTCCACCACGGGGAATATTGAACGCCGTATTTTAGCGTTGTAAGTCCATAAACGTACCACTGTCCCACCAGGGGACCATTACATAGAAAGAGTTGCTCTGAGACTAGAATATAGTGTATATTATATACATGTGCACTGAAATAAAAAAATATAGGTAATTACTCTATGCTTTTATAACAGGTTTATTTTTGAAATAATGACCTCTATAATGAACAAATAATAAGCAAACAAAATTAAGCTAAGACAATGCTAGAAAAGTAATGAAAATATAATAGTCATGTGTGTGGTATAAATGTACTAATATAATTATGAGGCTCATTCTTTAATGCCTTTTTATATCTGTTACCAGATGGTAAAAGTGCTCCCCAGTTTGTTTGTTTGTGAGTTGTTAATCGCACAGCTACACAACGGGCTATCTGAGCTCTGCCCACCCGGGTGTATCGAAACTCGGATTCTAGCTTTCGAAAGCATACTTGTAGCTGTATAATCTCTTAAATTTACCGCTGATTTACCAAAGTTAGCTTAGAAGGATGAAAACGAATAACATTTGAGTTTATTACATAATTTTACCTTATTTAACGTTTGGGATTTTATCTGCTATGTTACATCAAGCATCTGGGGGGTTTAAACGGCAGATACAGTGTACTACTTAAACTACATAGCTATAAATATAGAACGTTACAAGGTTGATGCAGATGTATATGTGTGTGAAAGATAATGGCTAAAATATATATAAAAAAACTTTAAAAGAAATATATAAAAACAGTAGTAGTAAACAGTAAAAAAAATTTAAACAATATATATACATATTGTTAGACAAGTAACAGACGTGTCAAACATGTAAGATTTATTTCGGAATAACCTAACTTAAATATAAATATTTCACCCTGAACCTCTCCTTCCCCAGTTTTTTTGCGTTATCGGTCCACAGACTTACCGCTGTGACACAAGGGGCATTATAAAAGGAATAATTTACTTGTGTGTATTGGCTCAAAAATGATTTAGAAGGGTTTTTACATTTTTGCCCTAACTTACATTTATTAGTAACTGTAACAAACCTTTAAAACTGTAAATAGTCCACAGACTTACCGCTGTGACACAAGGGGCATTATAAAAGGAATAATTTACTTGTGTGTATTGGCTCAAAAATGATTTAGAAGGGTTTTTACATTTTTGCCCTAACTTACATTTATTAGTAGCTGTAACAAACCTTTAAAACTGTAAATAATCGAAGTGTAATGCCAATTTTGATTCAAGCACACATGTTTAAGCTATAAATTTACGGTGTTTGTTTATTTGTAATTAAGCACAAAGCTACACAATGGGCTATCTGTGCTCTGCCCACCACGGGTATCGAAATCTGGATTCTAGCTTTGTAAATCCACAGACATACCTCTGTGCCACTGGGGGGGCATTTTTGGTGTTGGCGTGCATTAATCAACGTCTTTCATTGTTTCAAAAATATTTCAAAATGTTTCAAAAGTATAACATTAAATGTAGAGGTTTTAACATCGCAATTCATTTCTACAAACATTCTAGCAGTTAATAAACCCAAGATATGTGAGATCTGCAGAAAATTTACTACATTTATTAAAAAAAATTAAATTGTGCAAAAGTCTCTTTAAGTGTATTTTCTCACTGCTGTTTTGCACGAGATTGACCAGCTGGCAAAATAAGGTGACATGTCCTTCCTCATTTACGCAGAGAAACAAAATAAGACGTTAGAAGCCTCAGTTTTATTTTGGCCTAGGAAATGTTACCGAGAAGATTTCACGACAATATACCTTGTAATATGACAAACTCCACGGATGTAGACTGAAAAAAATACAGGTCAAAATCTTTCAAATTTACAAAATCCTCAGGGTTCTCAAATGAATTTACTTTCCATCAGGCGATTATATCCGCTTGAAGTGAGCAAAAGAGGAAAATATAAATACAAACCGTTGCCTGTTTGTAAAGTACAAATACACAAGTAAATACTTTGTTGTATAGTAAGCTAAGTATCTAATTTTCTTATATTCAGCGAATGAATAGGTATCCGTTTTTATGTATATTGTAAGGATAAGTTAATAACAATAATTCGGTCTCGTGCCTTAAGTTCGTGAAAAGAAGGTATTTACCTTTGTTTGTTTTGTTTTGAATTTCGCGCAGAGTTACACGAGGGCTATCTGCGCTAGCCGTCCCTAATTTAGCAGTGTAAGACTAGAGGGAAGGCAGCTAGTCATCACCACCCACCGCCAACTCTTGGGCTACTCTTTTACCAACGAATAGTGGGATTGACCGTCATTTTATAACGTCCTCACGCCTGAAAGGGCGAGCATGTTTGGTGTGACGGGGATTCGAACCCGCGACCCGCAGGTTGCGAGTCGAGCTCTCTAACCACCCGGCCATTTGTCGTTGTTACCCACTTTAGTGTTATTGTTGGATATTTAAAGTATTGAGGTTTTTACCAAGTAAATAGTCAAAATGTATGTGTATAAAGTAACAGAGAGATAATCTGAAGAGAAAATATATAAGAGAAAATACCTTGTTATAAGAGTCTCCTTATGTAAGAAGTTTCGGAATGTAAATACGTTACGGTAAGGAAATTACCACTAACTTGCATCAAAGCCAGGAAAGCGCCTTTGTTCTTATAACGAAATAATGTATATTGCAGAACATATAAATAATACGGAAAACATTCTGACATATATATGACAAATAAGAGAACATGATACGGAGGATTTTTTTTTCGAGTCTTGTTTATGGATTTAAAAGGCCGAATAAAGTCTGGGGTTTGATTCCTCGCGTTGGACACAGCAGATAGCCCAATAGGGTTTTGGTCTAAAAAAAGTTCATGTTTTATCTTTAGAAGCTAAGCCAAGTTGAAGGGTAAGTATATGGAGTATTAAGAGAATATTGATTGGACTACATTAATTTTGCTTATGGGAGAAACATTCAAAACAACATTTTTATATACTAAACTGAATAAATTTATAATTATTTTTAGTATGAGAAAAACGTATGAAACGGCTTTTATTTCTAGGACAAAAAAAGTCTACCAATACACATTTTGTTTTTAAGTTTCGTACGGTAACATAATGATAATAAGCTCGTATTAAATAGTGTGAAAACATATAATGGTTTCCAAAGCCTACAAAATGGCATTACAAATGGTATTTTGAAATTTGAAAAGAAACATAAAAAATATTCTGTAGGTTTTAGTTTTCGCCACCTACGTAATGTACAAAATGACATTTTTTTACTTGCGTATTCGTCTTGCTGTAGTACTAAAATATTTATATATTACCAGAAGGCTTTCATAAATGGAGTTAAACCTAATACGCACTTCTTCACGCCTCAAAACCTGAATACTAATACTAAAGTATTTGAAGACGTGAAATATTTTTATGTTTAAAAGTCACCTAATCGCCTGTATAAAGGTATTTTCTGCATACAGTATCCCAAACGTTTGGTAAACAGACGCTGAAAGGAGAAAGGTAGTTTTTGTTTTTCAAGAAAAACTGGTTCACTTCCGTGCCAGGAATTCATCTTCACAAGATCAGGCGTTTATATCACATGCTCCGTAATGGTCTTTTTTGTGTGAGCACTGAAACATAATCTCTATCGTTAAGATATGATATTTCGCATCCTGCACAATTTTAGCCAACTTGTATGTCTTTTTTGTTTTTCTTTCTACTCCAGTTACTGTACTTCTTTTTACTCCGGCAAGTTTTTCAGTAAAGCAGACGGATATACATAGCTCCCTTTAAAGAAGCGAGAGTAATCTCTTTAAACACATTAGCACACTGACTCTTGATTAAATATGAATAAAAAAACGCACCCTTTCGCAGACCCTCGAGAAATTCAGCACTGCGAACTTATTTATATACATATATCGTATGCATTTATTTGTATTTAATGGTTGTACTAAAATAAATGTAGCATTATGAATGCATTGTATTAAAATGTTAGTTTGGTTATGAAATTTGTTTACAATCTAGTAAGATTTGAACGAATATGGCGTGAAATGGACAAATGAAGGTGATGAAGACATTTTACACTGACACAGTTATAAGGATTAGTAAAAATTTTGTATTTTTCATCTGTTTCCATTACTTTACTGGTAATAAAGTCTGTTGTGGAGTTAATGTTTAAATTAATTAATTATGAGTGTTTCCTGTGAAAAGAAGGGATACAATGTAGCAGCCCCAACTTTTCGGGTTCTAACAAAATAAACAGCTTTATTATTTTGTAGTCCAAAAGTGAAAAGAATGCATACAGTGCAGTGGTGCAAACTGTTCTGGTTCTAGCAAAATAAACAACTTTATTATTTTGTAGTCCAAAATTGAAAAGAAGGCATACAATGCAGTGGTGCAAACTTTTCGGGTTCTAGCAAAATAAACAGCTTTATTATTTTGTAGTCTAAAATTGAAAAGAAGGCATATAGTGCAGTGGTGCAAACTTTTCCGGATTTAACATAATAAACAGCTTTATTATTTTGTAGTCCAAAGGTGAAAAGAAGACATACAGTGCAGTGGTGCAAACGTTTCTGGTTCTAACAAAATAAAAAGCTTTATTATTTTGTAGTCTAAAAGTAGACCAGCTGATTACGTAATGGGAGAACTCGATAAATATTTGTCCTGAAGTCTAAAATTTAGCAGAACTAAGGAAGTTAGCCAATCAGTAACATCCGTTCCGTTGCTGACACCTACACGGCTGTTCTTATGAGAATAGTACGATTGACTGTTACATTCATAACGCGCCCACAGCTGAAAGTGCGGATCGTGTTCATCGGCACATTATAAGTCAGAACCTCAGACCTTTTGATAGGCAGGCTAACAACCTAATCAGTAGACCACTCCAGACCTTCTTTCATCAGAGTTCCGGATGAAGTGGACGACTTTTGTGAGCATAAATGATTGTAATAAAAAACTACAAAAAACAAAAACAACAACTTAGCTTTTTATAGAAGTCATCGGTGACACATCAATGTGAGTTACCGGTGACACTGTAATAAGGTCTGGTGGTTAGAGCGCTCGATTCGCAATCTATGTGTCTTGAAATCGAAACCCGTCCACCTAGGTGCTCGCCCTTTCATCCTTGAGGGCATTATAACGTGGTCAATACCACTATTCGTTACTTAAGAGTTGCCCAAGAGTTAGTGATGTCTGGTTTTGACTTGCTGCCTTCCGTCTAGTCTATCACTTCAAAATTAAGGATGACTAGCATAGATAGCTCTCGAGTGGCTTTGCACGAAGTTCAACAAACAAACTTATTGTTTTACTGGAGAGATAATTTATTTAACACCGTTACCTTCACGAGCATATCAACTTCAGTATACACGTGCGCTTCTCTATATGGAGGAGAATAATTTATCACATTGTTAGTCGATTAATTTATTTAAATATCCATCCTCAAGAGACAATTTGTGTAATTTATCCTATGACATCAGAGGGGGCTAGCGTCACTTCTTACAGTTAAGTACTGTACATAATTTCAGAGCATTGTAATAAAAATAACGATAATAACACAAGTAACGAATTGGTAGCACAAACAAAACATAATACCTCTTCTATTAGCTCAGTACAGTTGTCGTGCACACCAAGGTCAATCATAGTGTGGCTGGACATTTCTTAGAGGTCATTTCATTTTTCATTGTGGGCGTGAATTCATTAGGTTGTTACTTTTGGTAGTTTCGATTATTCCACAAACTTAAGCGAAAACATTACGAAGGTTATTTCAGAGCCTGATTGTTTAGTGTAGTGTCTTAAATTGACTCTAATGACTAGCTTTATAAAGGCACGTTTTCAATTGCCTCTCATTATTTTTCAAACAAATAAATTACCCTTTTATTTTAGACATTTCTCTTATATTTCAGTTTTGTCAGCTTCCACGTATAATATAAAGATGAAAAATATCTGTATAAATAGGAACACAAGACACTTCTATTTAAATAATCGTGATTATTACTAATTTCATAATCAAGTATTTAAGATATTGCTAAATCTTAGTGAATTTATTAACTCAAAACTCATAATCCCAACAGAAAATCCTACCATAATTTCAGAGTTAGTTTATGTGTTTCTATTTCCTCTAACTCCTTCAAGTCTGTTGCATTTGAACTTGTTAAATATGATTTGCTCAACTCAGAATGATTCGAGTTGTGTCAAGAAGTTATGTTTCTTTTCAAATGCATAGGTGTCACAGCTCCAGTGCTAGCTAAATATAGATCAGTCAGTGAGGGTGGCTAATGGGGGTTTTGATAAGACTTCACCAGTTTCCTCTTTCATTACATGGGGTATACGTATACAGTTTTTGTACTTTCAATCATTACTGGCATATTTAGATCAAAAACAGAAACACTATTTATATTCATAACTGGTAAAATATTAATTCTACATTTAGATTTGGTTTTCAAATCTCATCAATCCCTTGGGGGAGGGATCTTTTTTCACACATTCTTTATATATACTTCCAAGATAGACATACTTATATATTTAGTGGGATGTTTTAAGTCACACGTTACTTATTGACTTGCCCCCCAGTGGCACAGCGGCATGTCTGCGGAATTACAACGCTAGAATCCGGGTTTCGATACCCGTGGTGGGCAGAGCACAGATAGCCCATTGTGTAGCTTTGTGCTTAATTACAAATAAACAAAGAAACAAACTTATTGACTTTTGATTTTAAAAAAAACGAAAATAGAAAATAAAGGTTATTTAAATAATCAAGCACAGTGGAAATGAACAATTTTATTGTTATGTGCTTTCACTCTTTATATTGCCATATAACTAATATAACATAATATTATGCAGTCCGAGTTAGAACATAAACGATTTTAAATAGCGAAGTATTAAGATCATAAACAGTCTGAAATGACTGCAGAGTTTTCTTGGTCAGAAACAAGCATTTTGTGAAACAAAACCAACATTAACGAGTTAGAGCATACAGAAAATTAATAGTAAATGTAACATTACATTTGAAATGATCCACTAGTACCTCACAGAGTGTTCATATTTATTGATTAGATGGAGCATTAGAAGATGGTAAAAACTGTTGGTAACCCATGATGTTCATATTGTATACATCAGCGAGTGAACAATGTCTATTGTGTGAACCATATTTTGAATAATGCGCTTGCCTTTACAAGCTGCGTGCGCTTGACGTTCTCGTGCGCGTTTTAGGATGGTTTTCGAGAGCTAAACCGTCAGTTTGGCTTAAGCTGAAGTAGCAAGCTGATGGGTGCTAGCGAAAGTTGTATCCCTCGTCGTACCAGTGTGGTTTTAGATAATTTCTTATCTCATGACATCGTGAACGTGCCGCATATCACATTGCCTCGGAAACCAAAAGTTTATGAACGATTTAGCTGGGTAAAGGCTTAGTAGTATGCAACGCAGATGAAAACTTGTAGTAACACGGGGAAGTTAAAAGAAGTTCAGGTAGAGCAGAAAAAAAACAGCTTTTCTGAGATTTATAGTAACACGCCTGTGAACATGATACAACCTTTCGGGAGTTCTTCGGTTTATCAGCATTACCAAGACAGTAAATATGCCCAGAAGGACAATATACCACGCTTAAACCAATTTAAAAAGGGGAGTTATATTTGTGTGAAAGGTCCTGTAGTAATACTATGGGTCTTGTGTGTGGTATCTGTAACTCTTTCAGGCTTCTGCGGCCTCAAACTGTTTCAGTTGCAAGAAAGACTTTCATCACTGGAAATCAGGTATAGACAACTGGAGATAAAACACATTCTTAAAAAAGTAGACAGTAAGGTGGAAAAGGTGAGTAATAATAAACACCTCCCAAATTTCGTCATTCTTCGTGTTTAGGAATCTTAGATAATATGATTACCGTTTTATAGATATAAAATGTATTATACGAACATGATAGGTGATACTTAATATTGATAACGATTATTTTCGTTTAATTTTGCGAGTTTGGTGGCCAAATATTAATATTGGGGGAAGAATGTTTAACTTTTAAACCCAACTTAATTTTCATGAAATACCAATATATGATTTTTACAATTATCAACTAAATTTCTCAAGTAAAATTTCGTTTACTATCTGGCGAGAAACAAATAAGTTCAGTTTTACTTTAATCAACCATTCTCGTACCACACTTAGACATTCTGGATTCTTTTATCTTTAATATGTCAAGACCGATTTATCGGAATACCAGATATTCTAAGGATGGATACTGCCTTGTGCATGGTTTAAACTTTAGTTTATAGCCATTATCTATCTTGAAAAGATATAATGGAGAACAAATGTTACATCTCACTGAGCATAAAGGAACAAATAAAACATTATCTTAGACCAATTCGAAAGTAACCTTGTGCACATACATGCCTTATATTGTAGACAGTCATCCGATAAACTCCAAGATAAACATAGAAAGGAAGCGTTCTCAATAAGAAGTAATTCTAATTTACTTTCAGGGCTGTGTATTTAACGGTATCATTCTATTAGCATTATGTAGTGGTATTAGAGTGTAGTTTACGAATAATGCCATTAGGCAGCGCCGCCAAATTAATTCTTCCTGCAATCCATTGAGGGGGGGGGGGGTGAAGTCTTTTCTTTTGAATTTCTTTTTCATTTGCGATAATTAAACGTAATCAGCAAAAAAAACAAATGTATGTGTAAAATCTGACAAAGAATCGATAAAAAAAATTATGCGTTTAATTAACTTGAAAATAACTTTTATGTACAAAAATTTAAAATGGTGCGTTGCTTCATATTTTTTTTATTATTTATTCATTGCAGATCCAGTGAGCTTAGTTTGCCCTACTCAAACGATATATTTATTATGTCTTAGAATTTCCTTGCTTTGTACTCAAACTCCAATTTTGAATTATAGACTCCAGTTGATATTAACTTAGCATAATTGCTTATGCGTAATGAATGTTGATGTCGTTTCATTTTGGATTTCTAAGTAGGATTACTATAACATATATCGCTAAAATTCGGGTTTCGATACTCGTGATGGACAGAGCATAGAAAGCCCATTGTGCTGCTTTGTGCTCAACTTCAAACAAAGAAAGAAACAAATAAAATATATCATCAAATTAGAGCCACATTTTGTTCGTAAACTGCACACTTCTCAACCAGTAAATATTTGGAACAGTGGAAAACATTCATAGAAGTAATAGAACTAAGAATAACTTCATCAATAATTAATGTGACGATCATAAAAAATGATCTTTATTATAGTAGAAATGTTCTATACATTTCTGTCTGAGTTTGGCAAACCTGAGGATGATCACAGACTTTAATAATTTGTATAACACATGGATTTAAAACACTAAATATGATCAATACTACCAACTTACTTTCCTCTTGTATTTATAAGTGTTAATTAATGGTTATATCACTGTCGTTACTCATCGCTACAAAACAAAACCATAAAAAAACTTGAAAATAAATAATGTTGTAAGCGATATTCATAACATACTTTACATTAAAAAATTACAAGATCAGAATAATAATCACCGAAGGTTGAATGTATGAAATAATTATCTTGAAATAATTTGTACTAAATTGTTGGTATTTAATGGCAATACGTACTTCATAATTGTTATGTTTATCTTAGTAAGCTAAAAGTAATTTGGTTTAAGTGGAAATACTTTTCAGTCAACTTGAACTGTTTCACAAGAGGTTTTGGAATGCTCTTAGAAGTTACCGTTATCACCATCTACTCAAATCCTGAGGACGGAAATATTTCGTCTAACTAATGCAAGGATCGACAAAGCTGATTTGTTTAGCCGCTATAGTTTTTATATCCACTTTTATCGTGAAACTAGAAAGTAATGTTGTTGTTTTAGTCAAGACTGAAATTATAAGTTTTAACTTGAATGACAGCTTCCAGGTCAAAGACTCCTAGAATTCATGAATAGTCGTCCCTACTTTTGAGCTACCGACCAGAGGAAAAGCAGCCTGTCAGGTCACCCCTAAAAGTATTCTATCCGGGTCTTTGAACCGAACTACAGTTTAATCTCTCACTTTTATTAACGCGTGCATAGCTGAAAATTCGAAGAGTATTTGCAACACAAACCTTAGAGCTTCTGGTTGCAGCCAGGTGTTAGGAAACCCCAGTCATATTTGGTTCAGTAAACCAGATAAAGTTAAAATAAAGTATTTAATGGTTAAGTTAGATTTAACTATCTTATTTTACGTTGATTTTCCTATTGCTTTATTTCGTAATATGATTCACTTTTCGTTGGACTATCGCCTTTTGCTGAATAGTATTTTCAAACCAGATAAACATCACGTTAATTTATTTGACTGTTTTCTAAGAAGTGTATAAAAAACTCAAAAGAGATTTGTACGTATCTATCTCTCTGATATTAGACAGAAAATATTTGAGTTGAGATCAGTATGTTATTATACTCAGTTGAGATCAGTATGTTATTATATTCAATTGAGATCAGTATGTTATTATATTCAATTGAGATCAGTATGTTATTATACTCAGTTGAGATCAGTATGTTATTATACTCAATATACTTTTTCTTTCTTACGAATGATTATTTGTCGAAACTACGTACGAGGTTCAGGTTTGGGTGGTTAGTACAAACGTTACTCAAGAAAGTCTTGTTTGTTTATTTTAGAACATTGGGTTATCTGATGTGTTCACCGCGGGGAATCGAATCCCGGTACTTAGCGCTGTAAGTATGTAGACATACCGTTGTCCAACCGGGGGATTCTCAAGAGAACCATTTAAAAAAAAAAAGGAAATTTCTCAACCTTTGTGTATATGATGATATGCTTTCAAGAATGTAACTTGTTATGATAATGAAGATATCTCTGACTGAATCCATTCCTACTTCATCCTCAAGTCGTGATATTAGGTCACTTATAACAATTTTGTTTCATAGAAGATGAAAATTTTCTTCTTCGTGGCGATATTCTCATCATTGTCCTCTTACCAACTTTTTTTACTCATTTCAGACAAACTGAAGGTATTTCATTTTACATTTTTTTCACGATACTACTGACATTCTGCATTGTTAGAACTCACTTTACAAGCAGGTTTTTGCGGAGTCTGATGTTGATCTTGGTTATTCGAATTGACGAAAAGATGCTTGTGTTTTTTAGAACGTTTATTGCTGTTATAATTAAGTAAAAAAATAACGTTTTGAAATTTGATAGATTTTTATCATGTATGTAAAATTAACCTAACGTGTGTATATACATAGTTACATGAATTACATGATACTTACTATTCTTCGGTTCTGCTTACTCGATACCGTTATCCTGATATTTATTATTTCATAGTTTTGCCGGTTCCATGCGAGCATGTATGACTCGTCCACTCATGTTATTAACAGATTATTCATACAACAATGATAATATTTATCAAATACTGATCATATAGTATTTATTTCACCATTTCTTACGAATATATCACATTAACTTATACGTTACTTATTCCTTGTAGAATCATTACAGTTTTTATACTTTACTGCATTCAAATATCTTATAATAATAAATAAGCAATACGTTCTCATATAAAGACAATGCAAGTGTATTGAAGTGTAATTGAAAACAGAAAAATAGGTTTGTACTGATATTTTATAGGTTTTTATTGACATTTTATAGGTTTGTATTGATATTTTATAAGTTTGTATTGACATTTTATAGGTTTGTATTGATATTTTATAGGTTTTATTGACATTTTATAGGTTTGTATTGATATTTTATAAGTTTGTATTGACATTTTATAGGTTTGTATTGATATTTTATAGGTTTTTATTGACATTTTATAGGTTTTTATTGACATTTTATAGGTTTGTATTGATATTTCATAGGTAAAAACTGACAGTCAGTTGTTATGAAATATGAACTTTATTTACGATTGAGAACCGATTTCCAACTTAATCTACATAAACTCTATGAGTAGGACACAGTCGCAATATCAAGACACACGGTAGTGTGTCGTGCGACCAACACAATCTGTGTGTTATTAACAGGGGCGACAGTTTAGCAATTTTCTTTATTATTTGTTTCCCCTCTTTTTTAAAACAACACCAATGAATATTTTATAATGAATGGTACTCGCTATGAAGACAACAGTTTTAGCCTGGAGTGATGAGTTGTCTTGGTGGACATCATGTGTGTTGTCTTGATGGACATCATGTGTTGAAGTTAGTGAAACTCTACACTGCTTCTGCATTCTCCAAGTTAAAATGTAACATTTTGGTGTGTAAATTATCGCAACAACTTCAAGCATTGGTGAGCTAGTTCTTCTGATGCTTGAATCAGAATAAACAGCAGAACATTTGGTTGTTACGCTACCCGCCGGTTTTCTACTTTAGCGATGTTTTCTTGGCTAAACTGTAGGTCCTAATAGCTTTCAAAAACCTTGAAAACCTACGTTAGGTGTCTATAAAAGTCTCTTACATTGTTATAAGAGATTATGATGAGCAATACATGATATGTGACGGCCATTTTATCCCGGCCCATCCCTAAATACTAAGCACTACCATGCTAAGTGATAATCGAGAATTTCAGTACTCCTAAATTATAAGTAACTATGAAAATTGCCATACATCAGACATCATGCTTTCAGTTTAAAGTTTAACTTGATGATTTTACAGTCTGTATATCCTCAAGTACGTTTTCAGACTGGATTTAAGCGTTAGTTTTGTTGATGTAACTGCTTATTTCCAAAGACAAGTTCGTCTGCTTGTTTGTTTTTTAAAGGGCAAATTTACACATTGGACTACCTACGCTGTGACCACTGTGGGTATTGAATCCATATATTTAACATTATAAGCCCT